GGTCACTAGGTGGCAGCACTTGCAATCCAATTACATGCGTTAGATAGGGAGTGTCACCTCTTATCATTCTAAGCTCTTTGGTAATAGCTAGTGCTACTATAATACACTAGAGTAGCTGGATTTGCACTACGATACTGTACGATACGGTACTGCATTTACACGGGTCAGATTAATAACTAATATTTTTTTTAATTCTCTGATTAAATAATAGAATAGACATAATCAACGCACGCAGTATAAGCGTGCACCCACTGCTAAATTTGGCGATGCGTTATAAAACAAGTACGAATGTATATCTTGCAAACAGTTTATTGTGTGTTTATTCAAGATGAAACCAGCAAGATGAACCGCTCAGCAGGCAACATAGATTTTAATATAATAAACTGCACTTACTGCGATGCGGGTTTTCTCACAACCGTATTACAACATTTAGATATTGCCGCAGATCTGATGGACGCAGAATAAAAACATTCTATCTAGTTTTCGATTGAAAAAATAACATATCAAAATTAAAATACGTCTATAACTTGTCTCTCTGCTAAAATGTGTGGACCCATATCTGTCACAATCTCATGCCGACTTCCTATCTCACACAAAGTACATATAATATAAGCAGAAAGGACCTAGACCAGAACAACATAACAACGAAAAAACGAAGGATAATATAATTTTAAATTACTAATAAGTAATAGAGCTTTAGCGAAAAAACCCACGCTTGCTCTAATTTCAAATCATTGAATTGTGTGTAAAAATATATGTATGCAATATATTGTGCTATTGCATGCTGGCTAGCTGCACTGTCCATGTATGCGATCATCCTATCTTATCACTGTCAGCGTGATCAGAGTCAACATATCACAACATCAAGTGAAAATAAGCCTCAAGGACTTCAATATCATATATGAGATCATATATCTCCATATCAGAAAGCGTAACGTACGCATCACCCGTTGTTAATTACAGTCGACTGTAATATTCAACAGTCCAATTTATCAATTCATCAAAAATACCTCTTTTTAATATCTAACTTATAATCACACACCGTTATCAACGTTCTGTTGTTTTTCACTGACATCGGTGAGCGTGTAATCACCTTGCGTGACCTTCCCGGCTGCGCATGCGCAGTCTTACTCACTACCCACCGCTTATACGCTAGCCAGCCGCCCACCACAGCGAGCGAGAAAACACAACTACAGACGGCGTAAACTATTGGCACGAATATCGCATTATTGACGAAATCCTGCGGAAACGAAACGAGGATCAGCGTAATGGCGAGCGGTACATTTCGACAGCCTGTCTGAGTCTCGAGCGCCACCGTGCGGCATTGCGCCCAACACAGACGAGCGATAGCTCCGACTATGAAACCGAAAGAGATGCCCATCATTGGACCGAAGGCGGCTCCGAAGTACACCTGCCAGGAGACGTTGAATAGGTCTTTGTAGATGATAATTTGTAGGACGACGAACATGATCACGACGGGTTCCGTCATATGGCGGCCAAACTGAAATAAATAAATAAATAAATAAATATGTGTGTGTGTATGTGTGTATGTGTGTGTGTGTGTGTGTGTGTGTGTGTGTGCGTGTGGTGTGTGAAGAGGAATGTAGCGATCATGTAATTAATGAAAATGACAATTATTAAGTTTAATAATCCTCTAACCCTACTCCTAATCCTAACCCTAACTTAATCCTAGCTCTAACTCTTCTTTCTTATTATTTGATTAATTATTAATTATTAATATATATTACTATAATTGATTAATAATTTATATATAGACTTTCGACGTGTCCATACCTTGGTCACATACGGAGCCAGTTTTGGGGGGAATCGTCTGATGAGCATACCGACAACTACGGGGATGATAAGTGACAGCATGCCTAGAGCCATAGTCGAGTACGGTATAGAGAAGCCAGCTGATGACCAGGAACGTCCGTAGATGAGTAGGTTTAGTGGCATCATGCCCTTAGCTGCTAGTGTCGATACACTCGTCATCCACACACTGAAATGAAGACATACGATATATAACAGAGGTGCATCATATGTACCAAGTATGCACCTCATTATAACCTGTAATTCCTAGACAGCTTGATCAGAATTAATAATATGAAGCTCGCAGACTTGCAGAGAGAAATGGTAATAGAAAGATGCGTAATAATGACATAATAATTTAATGATTTGATAACTATTAAAGTCGTCATTCAGTTTGAGATTAGAAAAGTTGAAGTTGAAGTTGAAGTTCATGCTAAACAGTTTATAACTATTAGGGGAACCCGGGGCAAAGCGAAACCCGGGGCAAAGTGGAATTGTCTCAGCAGATCTATGTTGATGCC